GGAAAAATACTGTAGCAGGAGAATTATAGTTAAAAATAAGTCCATCTTGTTCCAGTGATACCTCACAAGCTCATAGTTACTGTTTTCTGTGTTCTTAATTGCTATCTCAGCACCAGCACATGACTATGGGAGACCCATTAGCAAATAAACTGAAGCAGAATTTGTGCAGCTCAGCAAATCAAGAAATTACTTTGGAAACACAGCAAGACTTAAAGAAAATCATATGTGAAAAGCAGCAACATGTCACTAATTAAAAAAGATGAAGATCCCCAAGCCAGTTGGCTCTCTGCTGCTGGAAGGTGTTGTACCTCGCACAATGGGTCTGCTTCACAGATTCTATTAATCTGTCCGCAGAGACGGGTCCATGGCAATGGTCTGTTCGTTGACTCATTTATTTCCTACCAGTGGTGCAACCTATAATGGTGCCTCTTGCCTTGAAGGCATGTACTCGTATCATCCATAAAATGACATTTTAATAGATCAAGTAAAGCTTTAACGCTGTATAACCATCTAAATACTTTTTATGGAGTTACGTGGAGAGAAATCAGAGCAATGAATATATGTTTCTATATTATTCCTAGAGCTTAATTTAGGCACATGAGAGTGTAAAAGTGTAAGCTATGATCACACCAGAGCTCCATGAACCAAATGGCCAGTCTCCAGGAGTGGCCTGTACTTGCAGCTTACAGTAAAACTACAAAAATACCCTCAAATGTTTTCCTGGAAGCTGATAGGGAGTATTTTGAAGAATCTGACCAAACAAACTTAGATCTTTTTTTAGCCTTTTTAAACTCAGAGACATTTCTATGAGAGACTCTTCAACTTCAGATAATTTTTTCAATCATTTTGAAATCAGCCTGAACTATTCTGAAAACAGGCATTTTCATAGTAGGATTTGTTGAGGGTTTTCCCATTTTATGTCAGCCTGAGCTTATTGCTCCCAGGGCCTACCCAAGAACGTGCACTGAGCCAGGAACAGCCCACGCTGCTTCCCAGCTGTGACCATGTTCCTTTGCTTTTCATGGCTGAGGGCTCTGGGAACACAAGAGTTATCTGTTTTTACTGCTGTTCACTCTTTGCCCTAATCAGCTGAATGGAAAGGATTTCTGCTTTTCTTTCTTTTCTTTTTTTTTTTTTTTTTTGGTCTCCTGTTGCCGCCTGTGTATCAACAGAGGAGGTGTTTCTGGTCTTCAAAGCAGCAGGGTTGCACAGGCATGGTTGATGATACAACTTAGATGCCATAATCCCCATGACAAGATAACATACATTAAAGGGAAAGAAGTGTGAAGGTCCCAGGTTGAATTTACAGCACTTAAGTTCAGTAAATCTGCTTTTCTAAATGGAATTACAGCCAAAGGACAGCAACACAGATGGAAGTTGAGCACTGTATTTCCAAATTTTAGAAGGGGAATTGATTTTCATGAAAAAAACTACTAAAAAGGCATATATGAAGTTCTACCTGCATTCAAGCACTGCTCCAGGGCACCTGCTTTTCCTCCAGTGCTGGTGGCTCTCTTTTCTGACAGGGCCTTTTGGTAAACACAAAACATTTAAGGATCCACTGAGGGACCTTCAGCCTAAGTGCTTGGTGCAGTGCAGTTGATGAATGGGCTTCGCAAACAGCAACAGCAAAGTGTTAGCCAGAAAGTAGCAAATTGCTCAAACTGCACAGCCCCGTATCTTAAAAGATCTTAGGGACCTTCAGCCTAAGTGCTTGGTGCAGTGCAGTTGATGAATGGGCTTCGCAAACAGCAACAGCAAAGTAGCAAATTGCTCAAACTGCACAGCCTCATATCTTACAAGATCTTAGATGTCTGTGAAGCCTGAGGGTGCAGAGCCACAGTCACGAGGTGTGCTCACGGCGCAGACTTCTGTGACCTGCAGCGACTGCTGATGGCTCTCTGAACCTCCCACCGTGGGCTCCACATCCCTGCTCCTTCCCCTGCCCTAGATCATGAGCTGGTGGAAGGTGATTCTTTTTCTTGGGTAGCCAAGCTGCCATGGTGTGGGTGAGCAGCGGTGTTGGTGGTTGTGTAGTCTTAGCATGGGACAGATGGCAGGAGGCTCATTCCCTGAGCAAGCACACCGAGATGCCTTCTTGTGCTGCAGGGCAGGGCTATGCCAATGGTCCCACACTCAATTGTCCTAGTATCTAAGGCAAATAAGGATCATTGTGGTCGTCCAGTTCACGCAGCAGACACAAACTAAAGGATTAATCAGTGAAAGTGCTGCTGGAGCTGTGTAGCAAGAAGAGGTGAAATGCCAAAGAAGAAGATGGTCATGCATTGGGCTTGTGGTGCACCTGGCTCTGTTCAGAGCTGTTTGCTCTCCTTCTGGAATTGCCATGCTGCAAATAACGGACCAAAAGAAAAAAAACAGGATGGTCTGATCTGCAGCACACTCCTGCTGGGACAGCAGCATGCCTTGGTTATCTTTCCACACACATTGCACAGTAAGACCACTGATGTTTTTTCTGACCAACCAGCTAAAACTTCTACTTAATTATACTCCGGGCAGACTGAAAACAACAAACAGAAATCTGTCAGCATGTTTTGTCTTTCCCTTTTAGGAACAAGTCTCTGAGGCTTTTTTGGAGACCATTTTTAAGAGGCTTTTCCTCTCCACACCCTTCCAAATGGCCCAGTTGCTTTTGTTGGATTAAAATGCAGTCAAGCATCACAAAAGCAGGGATAACTTTAGTTTCCAACTCAGTTTCTGGGTAATGCCTGGTCTGTGAGTGGTAATTCCAGTTGTTTGTGCTGCTCCATAACAGTAATTGCTTTCTATCAGCAACGTCCCATCTGCGGAGGGTCTGCTGAGCAATGACCTGGCTGTGAGATGCGCCCTGATGTTGCACTGCAACACGCGATTATAAGGAGCTTCTGTTGCTGAATTACATGCTTAAAAGGAGCACAGTAGGTGATGAGAGCTGCAGCACGACTGCACAAAGCTCCTTGGGAAGACTGGACCCTGTCTTTCAACAGAGTCCATAATGATACCGACAAAAAACAGTCTGCAGGGAGCAGAGCACAGAACTGGCACAGCATTTCGTCCTAAAGCCTGAGAGGAGGAGTGCATGTGGTTAAGCCCTGGGACTTCAAAGGAAAAAGATGAAGGAGGGTTCAATGTCAGCAAAATTGAAGGTTTTTATAGGAAATAAATGGCTTTGTGTCTCATCAAAAGGGTAGAAGTTCCAGAGGCAGAACAAATGATAGAGGAGGTTGGGGAGAGGAGACAGGGGAAGCCAGCTATGGAAGAAGGAGGTGAATAGACAAGAATGAAAGAAAACAGATAGTGAGAATAGGGTGCAGTAAGGCTTTCTAACACTTGGCAATACTCTTAATAGTTAATTGGTATTTACACTTAGGGATGCTTTATGGCCTTGGCTGTATTGACGGGAAAAAGATCCCTCTCCACCCCATAGAGCTACGTAGGCAGATGTTGTCTACAGGAGACAGTCCTGGCACTGGTTAAACTGCAAGAAAGTACAAGGACAAAATCCAAATACACCAACAAAAGAGTCATTCGAGACCACTGTAATAATGCCCCTCTCTTTCCTCAGGTCCAAGTATACCAAGTCAAAATAGCCAATTTTGCAAGAAGGAGGTCTGAAGAGCCTTGAAGCCTCTCTGTGCTGAGGCTGTTTGACAGCACACTGTGGCAAACCTCACCTCATCTTCAGTGATGTCAGCTGCTTCTCTGTTTTAGGCTATATTTAACATTGAAAGGTAGCAACGGAGCCGTGGTGAGGGTCGGCACAGCAGTTGGGACAGCCACTGCCAGCGGGGCAGAGCTGCCAGGTCATGGCGGTGTAAGAAGCAAGGGGCAAGATAGAGCTGAGGGTGAAGGACACCAAGGGTTGAGTTGGGTGTCCTAGGGAGGGCGAGAAGGTTCCTGAAGTCTTGCTGTGCCTCTGAGCGATAACTTGTAATAGGCACAACGCAGTCCCTGAAGTTCATGTTCTTTCCCATTGACAGTTGCCCATGTCTGAGAAACAGAAGCTTCTGCAGTGTTTTTTGGGGTTCTTAAATCTCACCGATTTCCGTCAGGCTGCTGCAAAGCTGAGCTTGGAGACAGCTCGTGTTTAATCCCTACTGAAAACGAATCAAAACAGGAAACTAAACTAGCTTACCTCCGAAGAGCAAACACGTTTGTAGCGGATCCTTCAGAAGCGTGCCCCAAATCTGCAGCCTTAGCTCAGCTCCCGCCTGCCCCGGGCCAGCTTCTGCCTTGCCCCACTTTTGCAAAAGCTGAGAGCAACTCGCCGAGGAGGCAGTCAGAAACAGAATATGCTGAGGTAGCTGGGGTACTTGGATGCCTGTTCTTTTCTTACTCTTTCCTAAGTGCCCGTATTGTTATCTAGGTATCTGGTATATTATGAATAATAATAACGCAGCAGAGGGTGCCAGAGAAATTGTTATGTTGGCAAGTTTCTGAGGATATTATTTATTTCAAAATTTCCTGTTATTTTTTCTTAGCTAAAAAAACCCAGACAGAACAAAAACAGAGAATTGTTTTGTTTCTTTGAAAATAGATGCAGTAAAAATGTTACATTTTAGATAAAGTGCATAGCTTTGAAATTCTCAGCACCCAAATATTTATTTTAATAAATTTGTTATTGCTTTATAGCATTTCAGTATAAATCAGGAGTGTTAGTAAACTGAACATTTAATGAAAATAGTACTGTTCAGTTAAAACATTTCCATTTTTGGAAGAAAAAAACAAAACCTGTATTTCAGCCAGAGGTTTTGACTGATTCTCTACGAATCCACATGCTGAGTTGTAATATCTGTATGTACATATATGTATTTGCATGTGCAATTCATATAAAGGTGACACATATGAGAAAGATTCTTTGCACTTTCAAATGTCTTACATAATCTGTTAATTTGCTTCTGCTCCATTAATATTAAATCCCCCGTGGATATGACAGTCTTGTCTAATTATTCACTTAATCCACAATCATTAGCATTAACCAAGTGCTTTTCTCTGTCTTTTAGAAAAAAAGAACTTTGAAAGGTTCTGTGGAACTTTCCAGGATTAAATGTGTGGAGATTGTGAAGAGTGACATTATCATTCCCTGTCAGTATAAATATCCCTTCCAGGTGAGTCTGCTTGTTGACAATACTGATAAAGATGCCACTTCATTTTGTATTTCAATAAAATTCTCCTTCACAGCGCAGTCTTTAATGAATCCAACACCAGGGTGAATAACAAGAAAGGAAGAAAAAGCAGATCGAGGTTTGGAATGAACTGGGGAACCAGAGACACGGTGTTATTACAAGATCCATAAACCCTTACACTCATTGGTTTTACACTGGAAATGATCATTAAATCTTATAATCCTGTCTCAGTTTTAACTCAATATTCAGCTATCCCACTAACTCCTCTTCAGAGAAAGCCCATCTTTCATACAGGGAATCCAGACAGGGTTTTGGCCAATTTAACCATGTGGTGCTGAAACTAAACACATTCAGTGGCCTTTGCATCCAAAACTGGTGAATGAGACGGCTCCAGACCATTCTTACAGAGAGCTTTTAGTGACGAGATATCTTAATGACCAAGAGGCAGTGCCAGCTCTAGGATGAGAAACACACCTTCTAGTGTTAATTATTAATACTTATGGAATACCTTTACATTGCCATGTAAACAGAAATGCCACAGAATATTTGCTCAGCTATTGCAACACAAATTCTCAGTTCATTATGTTATTCCCCGTGCTGTCATTTATCAGAATTTTAGCATACTTGTGACAGTATTTTTCTTAATAATTGTGGTGTATGGACTTTAGCGAGTACAGGGCCATCTCTATTCACAGATGGCTTTAAAAGAGTGAATTATCTTGACACAGATTTGTAGATAAAAGCTAATAATTGTGCCAATATCCACAATAAATGTTTAAAAATATTAATTTTATAAAAAGAAAAAAGACAACCATAAAGCAAGATTTCTTTTTTCTTTTTTTTTTTACTTTTTGCCATTCTTGTTATTTCAAAATGAGCATGCATTTGTAGGCTTGGCACTGTCATTCTAATAAATCATTAAGTAGCTTGTAGGGTTTTCTCTAAATCTTCATCTGAACAGCAAAAGAGCATGTAGTAGTCTGAGCCCTAGAAAATATCACCATGCAGAGATATGAGAAGGGAGAGGAAACAATTTCCCAAACTAAGTTGGGTCATGAAACCCTCCCTCCAGCTTGGGGTAGTGTCCAGCTAGAATCATAAAAATTCTCCTAGAATATCACAAAATGTTGCTATGTTGACACGTAGTTGGCACTCAAGAAAATGGATGTTTCTGGGCATTTGGGAGCAGCAGAAGATGCTGTCGGACACTGCAAAAGGCTCTTGATGAGCAGCCTGACAGGAAAGCTCTTAATTGGGGCTGGGTAGGAGCTGCCTGGCTGAGGGAAAGCTTGATGTGAGAACCTCAGTTGCTCTTAACTTGAGTAAATATGGACTAGAGAAGGAACAAGTGCTCAGATCTCTTTGTTTTCAATCTTAATTTTCAAACTGATATCTCCAATGCTTGTAAGTACAGTAAAAAACTGTGAAGGTAGTGGCCAGTGCTGGTTGGATGGTAACATGACTGACTGAGGTCATGATAATTGCTGCTGCTTGTAGCATATCTGAATTTTGTTCCACAGTCAGTTTTGTGGTATTTTGTAAAATTATATTGTCTGTTTTTTAAAAAAAATATCTTGGCTCCATACAGCTGTAAATCTTCTATGGAACCGCCAGTGGCTTTCTGGTTTTGTGTGGCTCATCTGGCAAGTGAGCCACTTGCATGAAATGAGTGATTTTGTGTGGTTGTGCCTACTCATGGCTACATCTTTTTGGAGATCTACTTACTGGATATTTCAAAATCTGTCTAAGATTGTCAAAACATTATACAGACATAACAATAATATCAACAGGATTGGCTTTAAATAAATGAGAATCATTCCTCCGCTATTTCTATTTTTTGCAAAGAGGTTATAATTTACCTCTCCATAGCACATAAAGCAACTGAGTGCCATGGCTGGCTGTGCTTGCAAGGGCTACAAGCCAAGAGATAACAAATGTTTCCCATTCTTTAAACAATAATCAGTATTGCTTCATCTACACCACTGGAGAAGCTTAAAAAAACAGCTGATTTCTTCTGCAAACCTTTGTTTAAAAACAGTGGTCAAAGTTTTTCAAACCACGAGAGACCATGTTCCATTTGGGATTAAATCATTGAGATAAATATTGGAAAAGGAATATAGATTATGTGTTAGATCAAATTTTAGGGCCAAATGTAGTCATCTGATCCAGTTTGAGTCATTTTAGTTCTTGTGATGACTTTACTCCCTGGTCTCAAACTTCACAAATATTCTGTATTTCTCTTCCTTTGTTTGTTCATTGTGAAAGCCAAGTTGATGAAAATGGCATCTTGATTGCTCACTGTTCATCTGCTCCAGCTTCTTATTTTCCCCCTATAATCCTACTGAAAGATATTAAAAACTTTGAAGAATAACAGTAATCTAAATAATCCCCAGGGAGTTGCTTGAGACAAGAAAAGCTAAATTTGGCTCTTAGATCTTAAGTGAAGGCATTTTTTAAGAAACTGCTAAGAAACGGGTGCTAGTTCCCCAGAGATGCTTTAGAAGGGTAACATGCAGTCAGCGATTAACAAGCTGAATCCTCTGCAGCTCGAAATTGCTACATCTCCACTGATTTCACGGCCATTTCTTAACAGCCGAAAATTGATCTTAGCCACTGCTTGTCTAGAATTTTATTTGCGATCAGGATTTCTGCTCCATTTTAAATAACAAAAAGCCAATGAACAGGCCCTGATGCTCCACTTCCCCACGTCATCATTCTGCATGTAACCTGTTGGCATGAGGGCTGCTGCATGTTTCCCTCAGTGATTCCATCGTGCCCAGCGTACCTGGGGTTGCTTCTAATGGCTGGTTCCCTTCTTTATTCCCCCCTCCAGATCGTCCACGATAGCTACATACTCTACGTGTTTGCACCCAGCCGTGAGAGCCGGCAGAGATGGGTCTTTACACTGAAGGAAGGTAATAAAACCTCTGTGTTCACCTAATTGTTGAAATTACTTACCCCAGAGCAGTTTTCTCACAAGCTGTAATGCAGAGAAAGTGTGCAAGAGCAGTCAGTGTCTTCTGTCTAAGCATGCAAAGTGGTAACAGGAATTAGATTATAAAATCAAATTGTTTGTAAATTTGGTGAGTGTATTTACAGCAGTAGTAGAAAATCTGGACATAGAATTCTTTATTTGCCTCTTTCTAGGATTAACTGTTAATATGGCACTGTAATTTCAGGCTTCTTAGGAACAGAGAAGGCTTTCTCTATGGCTTTTTTTTTTTTAGAAATTTATCTTTTCTGCGTAGAAGATTCTTCAGCTCTGATTAATAGGTTATTTTTTTGTTTAGATGACAACCTTCTTAGAGAACCATGATTATTAAGAAACATTTTTGTGGGCAGCTTTCATTTCCTGTTCACCTCCTGAATTGTGCTGTGGTTCACTGCAGGCACAATAACTAACCACTGCATGCAGAAACGAAGCTTACAGCTTGACATAAGGAAGGTGTTACTTAGTTAAATGAAAATTGCATCAGACTTCCGCCATAGCATTTTCCTGCTTTATACCACAAACTGCTGTACTGTTCACTCTGAAAACGTTGTCCCTGGTGGAGATATTAAGTTCATGCACCTGTAACCAGTTACTCTTCTTCTGGAGTGCACCTGCTCCAAGCTTCTACTTTATCATTTTGAGACTGTTCCCTCCCTTGGACAATTTGAATAGTTTCTTGGAACAGGCCAGCAGAAATCTTTTTGCTCTTTTTAGAAAAAATATTATTACAGATAGAGAGCCTGAGCTTCAAAAAGAAGGACCTTTAATTACTCATGCAGACATTCAAGACTAGTATTTACAAGTGCAGAAAAAGTTTAGTGCTGAGAAATGCCAGCTCGTAAAGCTCCTTCTGAACACCAAGCCAAAGCAGCAAGTGTCCATGTCCTCCGTATAGACATACCGTAGAGCTGTACACTTTCATGGGAAATATCAGTATATGGCCTGCCCCCTTTTCTTTTTCCTTATGAGATCTTCCTTCTGTGGTTTTGGTGTTTACCTCTTTGAAGAGAGAGTCCCTTTGGTAAGATTCTGTTCTCCAGCAGGAAGGCTATTCCTCCACATCAATGGTGGCATTAACTCCTTTCAAGAGAAAGGAAAACATTACTGGAAGAGGCTGATAATATTCACCAAAGCTTGATTTGACAAGAATAAGATGCTTCTTTAAAGTGCAGATTATTTCCATTCAGCTCCAGATGTCTTTCAGAGCTGATGTGAAAGCAAATAAACTCATTTCCTGCCTCCTTTTTCTTCCCCGCACATTTTCCAGAAACCAGAAAAAACAACAGTCTAGTTTCAAAGTGTCATCCAGACTTTTGGATAGATGGCAAGTGGAGATGTTGTGCTCAGACAGAGAAGATGGCAGCTGGCTGTGTGGAGTACGACCCCACCAAAAATGGTATGGGATTTGTGAAGACCATCCTGACCTTGAAAATATTTATTCCCAGCAAAAGTAAAGGATGAAATCTATCTCGTATAAAACATCATAGAATATAATTTTACATTTCCCCTAAAAGACACGTTGCTGGCTTCTTGGGATATTCTCATTTATCTTTTACTGTATATGGCATTCTTTGTTTTGAATTAACAGTTTCTTCTGTGTGATGCTTGGTCCTGTCTTTAGAATGAGATGGAAAACTAAGAACTTGATCAGCTGTGGCAAGTCAATAGGCCATAATAAAAACTTTCTTGAGATACATGCATTCAGCCCTGTGTATCCTATTTTGTCCTAACCATATTTCCTCTGTGGCTTCAATGGCCAAGTATAATTTTTGCTTTGTCTCCTGAAAAACAATGCTCTGGCTTGCTATTCACTAGCTTTGTATCACCTTCATTAATTCATTACCTTAATGATTTCTCCCCTGGTTTTGTCCAGATCTACTTTAAATTAACTTTCTTGTTTCATTTCAGCCTCGAAGAAGCCTCTTCCTCCCACTCCTGAAGATAACCGGGTGAGTGCGGTGAGGCACACTAAGCTGTCCTTTGTGTCCTGTGTGTCTAACTAGCAGTGATAAATATATCCTCATTAAGGCTCACTGCAGTGCAGTGACCTAGAAAATCACCTGTGATAACATTCCCTGGGCTTTTCTCTTACCTTTTCCATGTATTTTCCTAAGCTATAAACCAGCATCATCCCACTAAGATTCAGTCCTGCAAAGACAGCTTTGTTTCACAAATAGCTTTCCAATGGTAAATGAAGATTCAACTGTACATTTATTTTGGTTTTTAATCTATAGGAAAAGAAACTGGGAAAAGTTGCTATGATGAGGAACAGAGAAGTGATTTTCAGAATTCACTTGTGGATACAACAAAATGTCATTGGCTTCTTTAGTAAGAAGGGAGAAGCAGGGTGGTTGTTAGGGCTGGAGGGCAGCAGGGCATTCGGACAGTCCCTCTAGGGATGCCATGGAGATTTTGTCACTGGAGACTTTTAAGAGGAGTTTAGGAAACATCTGTGAAACATCAAACAGAGGCAATCCTGCCCTAAGAAGGAGTAGAAAACTACTTTCTGTACAACTAAAATTTGTCTATGAGACTCATTGTTTGAAAGTGCTGAAAATTTTCATGTTGCCACCATACCCTTCCTAGATGTCCTGGGGGGCTTTCCTAGCTTTGAGGCTTTTGAAACCAGATTACACCAGTGGTGCCAGGGAAATATTATTTTAGAGAGCATGCCATTGGTTTTTGTGAATATGACTATGATGAGCCTTTTTCCTAATTTGTGCAGAAATTATTGCTAGACCCAAAGGAAGCCATAGTCATGGCCATATATGACTATGACGCCCAGAATCCACAGGAGCTGACGTTGCAATGTAATGAGGAATATTATGTGATTGACAGCTCTGAAGAACACTGGTGGCTGATTCAAGATAAGAATGGGTAAGTGTCTTTCCAACGGTCAATTTACAAATTCTTTCTATACCAAATTTGTTCTTGCATTAACATATACACTGGCCTCTTTTATACCTTCTGTGAAGCACCCTCTGATATACAGGAAAAAAGTGATGGAAGGTTATTTATGGTAACTTTCTTCCCTTTGATGTTGCATGTATACAGACAGCTGAAGAAAAGAATCTGAAAGTTAATTTTGAAAAAAAAAAACACTCCGTAGCTCAGGCTGATACTCAGTGTCATACACGTGGGGGAAAAATATTTGCAACTCTCCAAGTTTACAGGTGCAATCAGTTTTTTTCTTCTCCAGTAATCCTACTAAATACATAACAACCAGCATTTCTATCATACAAAGAGCAGGCAAATCTTTCAGGGCTGACTCCTACAGATACAGAGAAAATCCTGTCTGTGTAGTGCACTCACACCATGTCACATTTTAACAGGCATGAAGGCTATGTGCCAAGTAGCTACCTGGTGGAAAAATCACCCGAGAATCTGCAAATATATGAGTAAGTTGTTCCTATGTTTTTCTTGTACCTTTAAGTGCCTTGGACTTGCTTCAGAAGCTACAAGCCTCAAATGTCCCTACCCCACATAATGTGTCACCACTAGCACTGGAGACACTCAATTCAGAAGCTTTTCAGCAGAAACTTTACTAGCCTAGAAATGCTGACTCTGAGTCTTTTGATATTTTCAGGTGGTACAATAAGAACATCAGCAGAAGCAAAGCAGAAACGCTCCTCAGGGATGAGGTAAACCAGCGCTATGTGAGGGGCAGATGGGCAGTAATAATTAATTAATGACGAATGTGGAGAAGCCTGCAAGGGCTGCTTTGTCCAAGAGAGAGCTGAACCCTCAGTTCCTGCTGTGTTGCCATCCTGTGTTGGCTGCTCTTAGTGTGTGATGCAAGATAAAGGACCACTAGCAACACCCCCCCTCACCGCCACAGCAGCTCAGCGTGGGCAGAGCTGAGCCATCCTTCTTCAGCCAAACACACCCAAGAGCTGAGGCTGATGGAAAACCATGTTTCAGAACACTGCAATACTGATAACTGTGAAAACTGTGATTTTAGCTCATCTTTTCTGTTTCTGCAGGAGGCCTGGGGATGCCAGTAGTTCTCTGAAAATCTAACCAATCTCATGCTGAAATATTTAGGGTGAAAGCCAAGAGTACGGTTTGGGGGTTTTTTTTTAGTTTTGTGTATGTGTGCACATGTAAGCATGCATCTCTAATTTTTCAGTTAAGGCAGGGTTTTCCAGTGAAGACTGTAGTGAAAATAAAAAGAATAAATTCTTGTTCAAATTTTCAACACAAAGACAACCTTAGATTTTAAATCAGCTCTTACACTAACAGGACCCAATTGAGGTGTTATCTCCTGGAATGAAAGTTTTTATGGGAAAAAGGCATTTTTGCATGGTTTTAAAAATTCTTTTATTTCGTATAAAATCCTAAGGGATGTGTCCACGCGTAGTTTAGTGATCTCATTTTTCATTTTGGTCCCACCAGTGCAACTTTTCTGTGGCAACTAGCCCCATGGTGTGGGTGGATAGAGGCCACATAACGTGGAGGAAACCTACCATGTAAAGCAAAGGAGGGAACAAAATAATCAGGCACTTGGGATGCCAGACGGAAAGTGTCTTTATCTACAAACAGAAGAAAAATCATCAATATATAGGTCAGCACATTACATCCAAACTTCTTGGATTTAACTTCTTGTTAAATCTTCTTCTCTGACACGTGATCCATTAGTGCCTTGCCCTGCAGAATCAAGGCCTATGATGAATTTTAGTATTCTGATAAGTAGAAAACAATTATGGTGAAAAAATAAAACCGAAAAGTGTTCAGCAAGTGTCAGCGTGGAGGAAGCCTGCTTTCCTGCACATTTATGTTTAGACATTGGATGACTGGGGTCAAGCTTTCCCATTTGTGGTACATAGGTAAATTATCATTCATACGCTCCATATGGAGTCTCTGGTGTTGAATAAACTGCACTCTTGTTCTGCAGCTGCTCTCTCGATGGAGAGGACTCGAAGGGGTTTGCCTTTCCACTTGGCTACCCATTTCATTGAACTTCTGTGAAATTGATATCACCAGTGTTCTGTTAGATAGGGTTGAAAGCAATCAATGAGTTCAAAATTTCTAGTGAAGAGGCTTGGAGGGACAGAGAGTCCCACACCCATGTACCCACACCCACACATGCTCAGCACGAGCGCATAAGTCTCATTTCCTCAGGAAACAGAGATAAAAATACACACCAAGAGAGACCAGCTGGGTGTACCTGGGCAGCCATCAGAGCTGTGAACGCAACAGACTGAAGTCTGCCAGTTGGCTGATGACTCTGTTTTTCCCTCCATTTTCAGTACATTCACGTGACTAAGCAGAGACAGGGCTGAAATGAGCAGAGCTTTGCCCCCAGGCCACTTCTTTTTTTCCATTATGTCTCTAACCATTTTTTTCTCCTTTGCTCCTGTTACAGGGTAGGGAAGGTGCCTTCATGGTGAGAGATTCGAGGCAGCCTGGCATGTACACAGTCTCTGTTTTCACCAAAGCATTAAGGTACAGCTGAGCTCAGCAGCTTTTCACATCAATTACATCAATCAAATGGCTTCTATGAGAGCGTAATCTCTGTTGTTTTGGCATTATAATGAGAGAGCAGAAGGCTCATGAAAATTATAGAGGCAAACAATTCCAAAAAAGGCAGAAGAGCTAGCTGCCTTTCACAAAATTTATTAAAGGCTCCACTGCTCCCTGCATCTAAATATATGCCCACATCACCGAGGTTACACATCACTGGGGTTGTAATTTTGAAGAAATTGTCCCCCAAACTGAAGTGTCGGTAGGATCAACATGAAATACCTGCTGGACTTGTCAGAGGTGGCTAATACAAGACTAGTGAAAGGGTTTCAGTGATGGAGCAGAAAGTTTTGTTTCAGAGAAGCAGCTGAGAAACTTAGTACTCAGCTTGCTCTTATCAGAAAACCTCAGTCTTTCTCGAGATGAGACCATCTATGAGTGAGAGGGAGAACATACAAGTACACAGCTTTCGTTAGCAATTGCAGATCACTCCTTGCTCCTCTCCCAGTCGCTCTGGTTAGGGAAGGTTTCTCCCTTTGCTCGCTGACTCCTCTTCCATTTATGGACCAAATTCCTGTCTTTTTGCTGCAACCTAGTTTTTCTTAAAGAAAACCTCCTCTTTTTCAGCACGGATAACAATCCTGTTATAAAGCATTATCACATCAATGAGACAACAGACTTTCCCAAGCGATACTACTTGGCAGAAAAGCATGTGTTTGACTGCATCCCTGAACTCATCAACTATCACCAGCACAATGCGGGAGGTGAGTGAAGGCTGATGCTGACCAGGGAAGTTGCTATTTTACCATGGAGCCAGGTGACTGTTTGGGAGGAAGGAAGGCTCCCAAGCCTCTGTCTTTACCATCACATGTTAAATGGCACCACTTTTTCTTCCACTTATCCTGGCACTGGGATGGCAGAAGAATGACCACGTCAGGCCAGCTTCCAGCATTGCATTTTCGTTGTGGTCATCCTTCCAAGGCTGGCTATGACCAACACAGATGTCATACTATAGAGAGCTCTTTCATTCCCGGGAGCCTGTGGGGGTGGGTCACTGCTGCCAGACCCAACTACCTGTTTGAATTATGCTGCAGGGCCTTCTTGCCCAGGAGGTTATATATCCCTGGGCTTTGATTTAACACAAAGTTAGGGGCGTGGCCAGGTTCCATAGCCAGATGTAGGAGTCACCAGAGACCCCCATCCCTGGAGTCCAGGAGTGCCAAGGGAAACCCTGGGTTTCAAGAATACCCTGCAAATAAAAGATATAACTTGGAACTTCACCAGAGTTAATAGAGACTCACAGCTCACATTTGCTGACAGAGTAAAAGTGAGAAATAAGCTTAAACTGCTCAGAACTGGCTTCCTTCTAACAGGCAGGAAATTCCTGTCCGAACAGAGGTTCAGCTGCCCTCAAGTGGAGCTGAGAACTCAGTACAATAAGCCTGCTTCCAGTACTTAGACTGGCTTTTGGGGTGGTGACAGCCACACATTCCATGACTGTGACAATAACTGGAACCCACCTTTTCCTCTGTTATCCAGGTCTTGTCACTCGTTTGCGGTATGCAGTCTCGACTTGGAAAAAAAAGGCCCCAATCACTGCAGGGCTGAGCTACGGTATGGTGACT